CACCTCATTTCTTTAAAACCACATTCTTGAGATGTTTATTTTAGAAGTCTCTTCTTCAAATAAAATGAATAGTCACCATTGTGTCTTTGATTTGAGCACAGTGCCACTCTTAAGGAGTAATATAATTAAAGATGAACGTATTCCACTATGAATTAGCCTTATCTGTGCAGAATCCTGACTGCACTGGCAGCACTGCAACAATTATAAAATATAAACAGGCTCAAATCTTCATCAAATAGGAAACACATTTTCTCTAGCAGTATAAGTAATATAGTGAGCAATATATGTAAAACTATCAGCCTGTTTTTCTAATAATCATACATTTTTGAATAAAAGAAAAAATCAGACTGAAAAAAGACAATTATTTTACTGTCTGTTTCTTAGATATCAGAAAGAGAATTTTGAAATTCATCAAAGCTAACCTTCTGTTATGTACAACAGGCTAAGCTGAAAAGAATGTTAACAAGTTCAATTTTCATTCAATCAGCACTACTGCTCTCTGAAATGTTTCATTGCAGGAAAGAAATAAAAATAATCTATATGGTAATTATGAGGATGAATCCCCCAGTAACTTTCAGCTACATGAAAGGTCAGTTCTATTCAAGATATTTTATCAGTCCCCTGCACATACTCCTGTCCTGTCATTTTAAATCTGAACAGCATTTTATTTTCCCATTTACAGCTACCTGCAGAATTAAGTACTTAAGCCAAATAAGAAAAAAAAAAAAAAAAAAAAAAAGAAATGTTGAATGCTGGCAAAGGCTATAATAGCATGGAGATAAATCGTTCAGCTGCTCTCTCTCAAGCCTCTGGGGCTGCAGATTTTTCTTCTCCTGGTGCACTGTGGGTATTCAAAACTTGTTCAACATGATTTCATTTCATTTCAGGCACTGCCTGAGAAAACTAAATTACAGAATCAATCATACAGAAGGTCAGAGTGAGACTTCATTACAAGTATTGCATGCTTGCATGAATATCTTTCATTTATGACTGACCCAATATGTCACAATAGCTGTCTAGTAAAAATAATCCACTTTCTGAAATTGATGTACTACTGATGTCAATGCTACTCAGCAGGCTGGGCAGATTAGAGAGAGGTGTTAAAAAAAGGAACCCTCAGGAGCAAAACTTGTAGTTTTATAGAATTGCCACAGTTTGCAGATTAAAATATTTTTTTATGGGCAGCTCAACAGAAAACAGCATTAATATAAAATATTGGGGGTTGATTTTTAATGAGAATATTGCTGTTTATTTCTGCTTATTTACATTCAAGTATTTATAGGGATAATATTTGCATCATGTAAATCCAGGCATTCTTTGAAGTCAAATGTACATCAACACTCCATTTTTCAGTAACTCCTTTTTGAACATCAGAATTTTATTTACATGTTATTAAAATATTAAAATTAATCAAACTGCCTCCGTTTTATCTCCTCTTTTTGTTGCTGTTGCCTATTTTTAAGCATTAAAAATGCTGTAAATATAAAAGTGTTGAGTTTCTTGCTAGTAATAATGAAGTTAATCAGCATTGTGATAAATTATCCCTCTTTCCACAGTACGTGTATCATAATACCATGAACAACTGTTAACTCTAATCTTTAGAAATAGCTAAGTCATGTTTATGCTGAGAATAAATATACAGATATCTTTCTTGCACCACTAGTGCTATATTCAATATAATAGTACATGAAGACTATGTTAAATCTTTTTTTCTTTTTCTTTTTTGTTTTCCATGTGTGTGTCTTCCTGTGAGTAATATGTGAGATACTTGCAGAAGCATTATGTGGTACCCAGCCAACTCCATACCCTAAGGGAGACATAGGAAAACCTTGACATAACCTATTTTTAACCATGCCTCTGGCGATTCTGCATTCAAGTTTATAGGTGAACATGTCAGGTAGTACATAGAAAAAAGCCAAAGACACACAGTATTAATCATAATTCTGTCCAAGCCCGTTTTATTTTTTCAACATTTGTGATTTAAAATCTCATGACATTTCTTCAAGGTGAAATTCTTCTACCAGGCTTTGCAACAGGGTAGGACTACATTTACCTAAATTAAATATTGCTTACAGTAAAGCTCTCTAATGCTTCACGAGATAAGCAATAAACTCAATGCAGTTAATATGAAAATAATTTAAGTTTGTATTCAGCTCAAGAAGCTTTAGTGATTAGCAGTACACCATTAATACAGCGTTTAAATAAGACTATCCCAGCATCGCTGGATAAGAACATTGTTCTGTAAGTGTATACGAACATCATAATTATTTTACAACCCCATCTTTAGTTCTTTCAGATATAGTAAATTCAATTGACCATGAAATGAAATTTCATAGTCAAAATGCCTCCTTTACATTTTTTTATTGCTGCAATAAAGCTTTTATAGCTCCAAGGCAAGGTAATTCATGAAATTTCTAATTTAAAGATGAATTCTAATATTATTAATAAATATTTACCAGTTTAATAAAGTGCACATTTTCTACATAAAATATGATATAATGTTTTAATTTTTTATTTTTGAAATACAGATTAACTGCTGTAAAATTTGACTACCAAAGAGAGCTACGTGAGTTCAGGGCAAAGCTATGCAAGGACCCTCTGTTAATGTTTTTAAACTCCCCAAAGCTACCTAGCATTTATGAGCAGAAGAGAAAAAGACTACTGACTAGAATACCATGGCAGGGGCCACTCCATCTCACAGCATGAAACAAATCAAGCAGTTGTGGGGAATGTCTGACACACAAACCTCCCTATGTGGCTCCTCCATATCAAATCACACAATTCCTCATCAATTCTCTGCAGCAAAACTGTAGCACACAAGTTCCAATCCATAGCTTTGAACTGGAAGTCACCCTAAAAAATACAACTGGACCACTGGGGTAAGAAGGCAGGAGCTTCTCTGCATCTTTTCACCTTTTTCATCTTTTCTTTTTATATGGGAACAAATCTTATCAATGGAGTCAGTGTAAACTGTGCCATTAATTTCTACATTGCGCCGTCAAGGGAAAAGGCAAAGATGTGAAGCCTCCCATTCAGCACCAGAAGAGGTAAGTGAAGAAAGACAAAATCTAGAGGCCTCTTCTGGTTGGAACTGTTAAGGTGACAGCATTTACTCATGGAAGAATCATATTCAGTGAAAGGCTGCAAAATCAAAGGGCAAAACTGGGCCAGGTTACAAACCACTTGGTAACATTGAGGGGGTACTCAGACCCATCACACCAATCCAACTCACAATATTTTCTGACCAAGTTTCATTGTATTCAGAGCATACACTCTCCATCACTTTTGTTTTCAGGCACAGCATTCCTAACTCTCAGGTTTTATTAATCTGATCTTCCTTCAGAAGGTACCCAAAATGTACAGTGCAAAATGATATCTAAACAAATACTATATCCTTCAAAGCCTGTTTTAGGCAGTGCCTGTTTTGGACCCACAGGATGACTGAATTCTGTACCTCCTTAGTAGTGAGCAGCTTGTGGTTCACTCTGCATTAGTGTTAGCTACTCTTCATGACCTCCAAAGAAATATTAAAATTTGAAATGAAGTCAGCAGCCTGTAGAATTACAGAGAAATATTTACTGCCTGTTGGTTTGTAAATCTTTAATTAATTTTCACTTGCCAGAATAATAAAAAAGAAATCACAACATAACAACACAACCTTTATTACAGTCCAGCAGTAAATATGTATTTTCACTATGCCAAGTTCAGCAAAAGGTCCTATATAAAAGAGCTAATCAGAAAAAAATATAGTTGATGTAAAATATCTGTTCAAGCTAAACATTCACTCGCTCTTCAACATGCTACACAGAAATGAATTCTAATTGTAAGCACAGAGTTTAAAATGCTGAGTAGGATAAACTGGCTCACAGCTGTGTCCCATGGCTGGCACTATGGATGTCACTGCACAAAGCTCTCAGAAACCCAGGCTGGGAGATCCCCCGAGCCCAAAGGGAAACACTGCAACACCATGGGAACTGCCTCTCCTTTGGAGACTGCAGCCCTACAGTGCCTATAGGTTCTGCAGGACACTCCACAAATCCCTGCTTTTGATTGCTCTAATTAACTCTGGAATTAGCCTCACAGTAACCATCACTCAGCTATTCCACACCCAGATCATGTCTCCATGTTCTTGAGGGCTCAGACAAGCCCAGGAAGAGAAGACCACCCTGCCCCTGCCTCTGCGGCCAGCAAGAGCACTGGACACAACAAGGTCTTTTTATGGCCCTGTATTTCTGAGTATTGTCAAGGTAATACATCCCTATCACTCTATTATGAGTTTTAAAAAAAACCAAAAAACTAATTAATTCCCTTTTATAAAGAGTTAGCCCACGGAATATACAGGGTGAAGGGAAATACACTGCTTTTTACCTGCTGCCATACTGTGTCTGGCTCTCCTGAACTACTCCAAATACTGCACTCTCAGAATATCCTGATGGATGTCAGATGTGGGTCCTACACTTCAAATACAGACAAGGAATTCATTCTAAATGCTGTAGTTCACCCTGGCCAACACTATGGTCTTTCAATTCTTGACACCAGTGCCAACTGTGTAACACATTTCTGAACTTTAGGAGCACTTGGGGCGCACATGATGGCAATGAATATGGGCTTCCAAGTCCATTCCCAAAATGAAAATTCTGTGTTTGTAAAGCCTGACTGCTTCTTCACAAGAGATCTGTTCACAAGCACTATAACATTGCACTGTACATTAACAAACATGTTTATCTTGCTGAATCCACCAGTATTTAACCCTTAACCATTTGACAACTGCCTTAGGGAACTGAGTAACAGCAAATTATTGTTTGCTGTGTAACAACACGTGTGTCATCGTTCATACAGAACACGCCTGACACATGACACAGAACCCTGACAAATGCTTGGTCAGGCACCCAATAAAACACACAGATCTTCTGAGGGGTCAATGAAAACTAAGAGATGGCACAGATCTACATGTGACACACACCACTAGGCAATGGGAACACACAAAGAACCAGACCTACCATATGCAGTCCATTGCTGTGGATGACGCCGTCTTGCTCCACGAGATTCCGGGATATTGTAATAGAGGGAAGATCCAAGCTCTGGGGGGGAAACTGAGGTGTAAATTCATTTCCTTGTGCAGGCAGCTGGTCTGCAAGGCCCTGAAAGGGGAGCAGGATATCTGCCATGCCCAGTGCAGGGTCTGATTCGGGCGGGGGGGTAATGGGTGGGATTTCAAACTCCTCGTCCCCAAGGCTTGGCGTATGGAACGTCTGCTGGAAAAGGACAGGCAAACAGTGTTAGGGCACACAGGGCTCAGCAATCACCTCCACACCTGCAGTCCAAATCCTGGTTTGTTCTCAAATGCAAACTCTATAACCAACAAAATTTTTAAATTTCATGTGCTGAATGGGTCTGTGGATCATTCCGATTAAAGATTTAAGTCTCATTATCATATGGCTTAAATGGAGTATCAGTATTAACAGTTTTTTAATGTGTACTTAATTAGCAACATCTGTCTGTTGTTAGTCCGAATATCAGCTACATTGGATTTGGCTGCATAACAAACTGCCACTTTATTGATATGTTAGTAAAATAGCACAAACAGCTTACATTACTCTCACGCTTCATAAAACACTGACAATTTCGTAGCCCACACACAACAGGAATTCAGCACTGACCGTTTCACATCTTTTGTTTGCTTTTATCCACTAACAAACATGAAATATTACCATTCTTTATTTCTTTTCCATCCCCAAAATACAGTGAAGCCTTTTAAACACAGGTTGTAATTTGGAGGAGAGATGTATGAAAGCGTGAGGGTGATTACAGCAGCTTCCAGTGCTTTCTGAAGCAAGCCAGCTTTGTTTGAACAGTAGGTTTGTTATGAACTAAACACCTGTTAAGATGCCTTGAGCAAAACATTTACTGCCAGTTATCTTCAGGGTTTGTGCATGTTCATACATGTGCATGTGTCTGTCAAAGATAATCTTTATTCAGAGCCTGTATCTGGCTTTAACATTGCTGACTTTTATTTGGAAAACAAATGAGCTACGCTTATTCAAATTTTCTGAGAGTTAAATGAACTTTCATGTATTATTTCAGGTCCACTGCTACTTAATAATAGAAATTCAGTGCTAGAAATTAGGTCATTTTAAATGTACCCAAATCAGAACTGCCTTGATCAAATTGGGCAGTTGGCAATCCTAAAATAGGCACTCTTGTCTTGTTCTGGATATGCAAGGCTGCTCTGGGATTTGTTTGTTTCCATTAGTTCAGGATTCAGGTTGGGGTGGGAGGGAGAATTGTTTTATGTATTAATTACATTGTTTGAAAGAGTGACTTAATGCCAGTTAATTTAAAAATGATAAGTTCAGTGAAAGATCTCATTAACTGCTGCAAATTGTCATCCTTCAAACTGTTAATGATGATATAAATTAATAACCGCTTGAGAGAAGATGGAAACTGAAACACAAGAAAAACCTTTGCTTGCATATAGAACCTGTCAGCTGTCATTATTGGTCTCACACCAGAAATGATGGGGTCCCAGATTGCTGCAGTCTGCAGCACCATCAGAGTCTGCTGAGACTGTGCCCATCTCGCTCCAACTGCAAGGCTCTAACTTAATTCTGGATGTGAAGGCTGGGCCTGGATTAGGGAGATGCTTGACTTCCCCACTGCTATATTACAAAAGGTGTGAATTTTTCTTCTCATGGACCCTGTGGTTCACAAGCACAAAGGATGGATTGGCCAGGAGAAGTGGTTGGCTAATGAACATAACCCTATGGCTGCATTTGCAGTTATTTTGGCACTAATGTGGTCTAGTAACAGATGCAACTGTAATTTGTGACTCATTTGCTACCCCATTACTGCTTAATGAAATCTAACATATCACATTAACAATACGGATAAACACTCATTCTTGATATGTGGCATTTGGCTGTTTTCATTACCACTGTAATTAACACTTGAAATATTATTTCAATAAATATTTAAGGTGCTTTAAAATGAGCTGTAGTAATCATGACATAGAGACAGAAAACATAAAGCAAATGTGTGGCTTCTAAGCCTGAATGTGCTCTAGGATTACACTCTTAAGGCATTATTTACAGAAATAAAATGGGATTCTAGCTCAGCAGTGCTCAGGCCCAAAATAATACTGAGAAAGCTACATTCATGTTAATGCAAAACCACTATAATTAAATACATTGTAATGCAGTAATTGCAAAGTAAGGTTCACGCTTTAATATGAACAGTAACACTTAATCATATTTTTATTCCTTGTTCAAGCAAAAGGGTTCAGTGAAATCAGTATTATTATAGTACATTTGAACCTCTCTTTACTTGACATATTTATGAGATATTAGTAATTATAAGAACTGGATCTTTTTTCCCCATCTAACAGAATAATTCCAGGACATCTGCAGAAATATATAGCACAGCTAGATAATAATACAATTTTTTAGTTAGAAAAGTAGCATTCATCTTAATACTTATAGTTTAATACAAATGGGAGAGTAAATTGATGAATACCTTAACATTTTTAAATCCGAATTTAATTCTGAGTGTATAATTTATCCTAATATGCGTATATCTTTAAAAAAAAAACAAAAAAAAAAAAACAAAACCGCAAACATAAAATAGACATAAAATTGAGAATAAAATATATGTAATCCAAGAAGAAAGCAAGCCCCTTAGTGAAGTAGCCTTAAATCCAAATCACTGGGCTATTCAGTCTGTAAAAAAAGCCTGAATAGTATGCAATTTGGGACTGCAGAAAGGTGGTGTTATGGCCAAAAGATGGTATAACATTTGTGAGATTTATCTTACCAATCACATTTTTAAAGTTATTAACTTTTCAAATATTTATATCTCACACATATATTAAAAAAAAAACCAAAACTGTGTGCATGGTTAAATGCCATCTGTACTGAAATGTTCAAAACATTTGTTCCTTTTGATAAAAATGCAAATCTGGAGAACTGTTGTATCAACATATAACAGCCAATGTCTGACACGGTGAATTATCACAGCTGGAATTAAATTGTCTCTGAACAGCTGCTGGCAGCAGAGCTTTCATCAATGTTTGATTCAAATGTAGGAAAGAAATTCTACAGAAAGAAACATCATGTTGTCATTACAGATGGGGTTTGTGTTCATTATCACAAATAACACTGGAGCTAGTGCCAAACAATATTCCCTTATCTAAGCAGTCTTGCTGGGTAAAAAGAGATGGTGACCATTGTATAAATGATTCATAAAATCCTACCCTTAATTCTAACCTTCAGATTTATTGTTACACCTTTCTGCTTATTTTCTCTGAGGTCATTGTTTTAGAAATGCACAGGAGTACCTGTGACTGAGTCCCCACTTACAACAAGAAAATCAGGGCTTCCTGGTTTTCTGCCCTTTCCTCATGTTGGGAAGATCATTTATGACATGCACCCTATAAAGAGTTCTTGTTCTCCATATTGCTGTGCACAAACTAGACAGTCCATGGAGTAAGAGCTTGGGTTTCAAGGATGAACAAAGGCAGTTTCTGTCTGGACTTGAGGTTAGGATTAGTGTGTTGATAGTCTTTTAACTGGTTATAATATATTTATATGTATATGACATTTAACTGGCCCCACCTAGCAGATACATGGAGCCTGAAGTTTCCACACTTTCTCCTGTTTCCGTTCTCAAAGGCAGTGATCAAATATATCATCTGCACAACCCAGCCAGCCTCCACCAGCCCAGCCTCTGGGTTTGTTCTGGACCCTGGATTCAAAAGGTTCCTTGATGTAACACATGCATTTCATGCAACAGAGCTGGCTTTGGTTTTCTATCTCGTATGAGTATTAAGAACCCAAATTAAACCATTTGTATCTATAACAAAAATTAGAACATTAGCTAGTAATGACTACTACTAAGCTTGCTTTCAAAGTGTACACCTACTGTGCCTTTTATTTGTTTCCTTCTGTTCATAATTTCCATACATAAAGCAGATTTGTTTCTATTGACATGCTATGTAAGTAAAAGCCTTATGGACAGCTAAATTGACTAGTAATGGAGAGCTGTCAGGTTATTTTCTTTCTCATTAAAGTCTTTATTTTGTGCTCCATAAAACACACAGAAATTCGGCACTTCACTCTTCATCCATTCAAAGTCTGTTAAATTATCACCACAAACAGCAGAATATGAGCATAGATAAAAAATAAAAACATCTACCTCATTTGCAGCAAGAAATGCATTATTTGCTTCTGCCATGTTCATGTAGTTGTTATTGTTTCCAAACTGAAAGAAAAATAAATATTTGGATTTAATGTATGCCATGATAAACTTTCCTTTACCCCATCACTGGCATAGAAAAGGTAGGGGGAAGAAAAAAAAAACCAATTAAACCAAAACCAACAAACAGATAAAAAGCATTTGCAGATGTTCTTTGAAATCAGAACTCAATTGGATTCAACATCATCATCATTATTATTATTATTGTTATTGCATACTCTGCATCCCCCAGTCTTTACAAGGAAGATATTCACGTGTATCTCTCCAACTTTCTTTGCCCAGGCAACAAAGCCACCCCAGAGACCTAAAGGTGACTTTGGAAATTAAGAATCCGTTAGGAAGAGACTCCCAGGAAAGACATTTCTCCATCCTTTCTGATGCACATTATAATATTTCTGCCAGTGATCCTGACCCAGAGGATGCTGCCGCCAGAAGCAGCTGCTGTATTCCTACTCCAAGTGGACCAGGCTTCCAAGAGCTGAATCCCAGTAAGGGGAAGAATAAGAATCTGCAATGCTGCTCCTGAAGTCCCATTCTTTCGGTGAAATTGAAAAGCCAAACAATCCCCCTCTGTTTATCTTTCCCTGCAGTGGAGCTCCCACTCTCCCAGTGAACATTAACACCAGAAAATTTTGCAGATCAGACAAACTGTCCAGCACTGAGACCCCGAGATGTGCCCAGTGCCCCCTTGCTCCCACTGAGGTGCCACTCTCATGCCACATGCCATGATCACAAGGGATTTCCAAGGCCAGTCATTTCCTCCAAATTCTCAAGTATGAACATTTGTTGAGGAAGGTAGGTACTTTTACTTCTACAGACTGAACACAGACAAGAAAGAGATTATCAGCATAATACTGTGCCTTATGCCCTTGAAGAGCCCTTCCAAAGGCATGCAGGCTGATAACCAGTCCTGCACATGCTCCCAGAGGAGGGAGGCATCCAGAGCCTTTGCTTCAAGGAACAGACACCAGGCATGTCAGGCACCTAGAGTAAAACAGGCTTTCACATGTGCACACTGCTCCTACCAGGCACAGAGCACAGTGCAAGGTACAGTGCTGAGCAGGGGAAAGGTCCCTGTGCTGTCCCTACCACACACTGCTGCCAAAGCCACTCCCTTAACTCCCATTTTCTAGTTTCATGAAACAAATTTTTTTAGGAAGGCTTTTTTTTAATCTTCTCTTGCCATATCTTGGTGGACCTGCACCCCCTCCTCAGCCCCACAACAGCCAACACTCCCAACAGCAGTATAAGCTCTGCCAACAGTGCATGGGGACAGGTGACCATGCACTTGCACAGGTTGTTCTTTCCAAACAAGAAACTCTGGGGTGCTTTCAGAGCAGCTGAACCTGTCCTGAAAGGAAAACCACTTTGCTTCTGCTCAATTTGCTACAGCTGCACTTGGTCCCTGACTGTTTTCAGCAGTGAAATGTTTCAGACTCTCCAGTTTCTCACTGGAGGGACCAGTGATCCTTTCAAGAAAGGCTCTTTCCCTGAAAACTGAAACATCCACTTCTGGCAATAAGACCAAGTTAAAAGGAGGTTTAAAAAAATTAAAAAGAAAGCCTTGTGTACCTGTTGGATTGACAGATTGACTAAATAGGACATCAACAAAATTAGGAGACACTTATAGGGGAGGGAAGGAATACAAGATGAGATCTCTCATTCTGAAGTAACAAATTCCATTTGTGTACTTATCATTCTGAATCTTTCAACCTATAACACATGTTAAGCAACAGAGGCCTTAGCACAATATGTGGGCTGCCTCATAGCTATTAAAACTCTGTTATCCCCAGCTATGCAGATACTCAAGTAATGTCATCCATTTTTTAAAAGCCCAGATGTCACCCATGTTTGGAGATTAAAAAATCCAAGTAAAATTGCACATTCAAATGACTGTTTTGGCACATACGGATGTGTGTGTGGATTTGTTGCACAAAGACACTACTTCAGCTCAACAGTGCGATCGACAGGATAGAATTTTTCATGTCAGTTAGTGGCAAACTAAGAATGATTTACATGGAAAACTCGATGGCTCGAATAGAGCTGTTCTTTCTACAGGAACAAATAAAAGAAAAAAAAAAAAAAAAAGAAATCAAGTTCTCAAAGGATACCTAAGGGCAAAGGTACACTAGACAAGCATTACTCTAACACTGGATAAATAAGTGGGGACAAACCCTACCCTATTTTAATGACCTTAGCATCCTAAGGGCTCCAGTGCCCAAAACAGAAAGGTGGCTGATTTTTTTTCCTTGAAGAGTAAAATTGTACATTGTTCTGATGTACATGTATTGCTCACAGCACAGCTTTCTCATTGCCAGGGTGGTTTTCTTCTTTTTTGCTTTATTAAAGTAAAACAATGGGGAGAGTGACAATTTAATTTTCCGTTTTATTAAGACTCTGGTAGCAAATGATATAACAAAGAATGTCAAAGCTAAAAGTTACAGGTACATATCCTTCAAGTCATTCTGCTCTTAGGCTATAATATTTAAGACCCCATTGTGTATGACTCAGGCAATGATGTCAGAAATTGGAATATTTCAGCTTTTGTTATTATGATCACAACTAATATTCTTTATTTTTTGTCTCTGAACTAGAAATCCATTGACGGCACATAACAATTATCAGTGAGTATTTCTAAGATTAAACTTCCATATTATTTAATGGTACCTATAACAACAAAAGAAAATAAAATGGTTATTATCTTAAGGACCTAAACAATTCAAAAAACAAATTAAGCTTAGAGTGAAATAAGAACTGGGTTAGAAATCCTCTTCTGAACAGTTAGTCTGCGAATGTAATTACTGAAGAAACTACAGCTAATCAGCTGTGAATTGTATCCATTAATTAGTATTTGCCCTGGAGAAATGAGAAAAATCAGTAACAATGTTAACACTGCAATGCACTGATGAGTACTGAAACACAGGGCCCTCAGCATTTAGTCAAGCAGGTGGCTCCAATGGTCCAAGTAATTTAAAAAGCTCTCACCTGAAGTGCAGAGCTGGAATTACAAAGCACTTCTTGCATATCTTTGTATCTATATAAGGCTATAATTAATGGCTTTTAATTTAGAAACACTTTGTGATCAGCTGGGAACAGTTATAAATCATTCTAAATAGACCGGGTTCTTGCCTATTTTAGCAAAATAATTTTTTGTGAAAAGACAATATTTTTCTCCATTTATTTTCTTCACAATCCCTTGCTCTGACCCCTCATAAACAGCTCAGAGCATTGGTACAGCTGACAGCAGGGATTCAAATTAAAGGGGAGACCCAGCAATTTGGGCTGCCCAGGTGGACTCCCAGAGGCTCCCACCTGTTGGGTTTCCCTGGGACAGAAGAGTAAGATGCAGCACCTAGTCCAGCTGTCTCTTTGTTTTGGGATGCTGTTGGGATGCTTTCCTAAGAACTTTGCCAGAGCAATTAGCAAGGTTTTGCATAAACTTTTTCATCTGAAGAATTCAGAGCATTCTTGCTCTGTAACTAGGAAAGAGTAAAATATCTCCAGCTTCCTTTGGCAATACACACCATTGCATTACAATTTTTTCCCTTTGGTTTCAGTTCAAACTCTCTCTTCAGTTTTGATGAACACATTAAGTGGGAGTACCCAGCTGACTGCCACCACCAACCCATGGAAACCACAGGCATCTGCCCATTTCAGGAAATGAACTGCACACAAACAAAGCCTCTTCTGAACTTGCTGTGAATCACAGCTTCCATTCTTCATGCAAATCACTGCATTAAAACTACAACAGTTCAGTCCTCTACTCTTGTATGTTGGAAGGGCACCTGAATCTTGGCCGTACTGAAATCCCTCTGGGCAGACATGAAGACTGGAATGAGACTGGATGCTTGGTTTACCAATGCCTTGTATAAAGCATGTCCAGAAAATTCACTCATTCTAAAATAGCTGGTTGAAGCTCAGCTCTTCTCTTTGACTGCCAGACCTGAAGCCAAACACCTGGTCTTTTTCAGCTTCTCTAGCAAAGGTGTATATTTGTAATGCAAAGGGAAAATTCACACCCTCTCCTTCCTCAACAGATGCCCTAATGAAGGCCAAATCAACTCCTGCCCAGCATTGTGGATATCAGTCTGTATCACTGCCACACTTCTACAGAGTGTGTGTTTTCTTAGACCAAACCTCTGGGGCCAAATGTTAGGCTGTCTGTAAATCAAGGGATAAGCCACTTGGAACTGACACAGCACAATGCTACTTGGGTTTTCAAACTACCCTTTGTACTCACCAGAGCTTAAAAATTGGTTGGTTATGAAAGCTGAGACTAATGAGCAATTGTTTTAAGGCAGAATTCTGATATGATGAACACCACAGAAAACCCTTGGCAGCTTGGGATAAAAATCAGTGATTAAATGTCCACTGAGTCTGAATTCCTACTAAACATATCTTCAGAAAATCTCAAATGTTGAATTGTGGCCACTCTCTGGGCGCTTTGGCAACTGTGACTGACTCATCGTCACAAGAGATAAAATAGGCAAAAGAGAACTTTACACCACAAAACTGTAAGAGTTTTACAAAAGCTTCAAAACTAAAGTAAATAACATTTAAAGGTGTTACTATTATGGACACACAGAATAACATTTTGAACCTATAAAAGTTAATCAGAATTTTGCTACTGATTTTAATGGAGAAATCATTTTACTTACAATGTTCAGTCATTAGCATTTTTTACAACTTGTCTTTAAATCAACTGACTTGTGGTGCAATTCTAATCTGAAAAAGGTTAGAACTCATATCCAACTATTCATCTCCTCAAGAGGTCACATACAGAAATACATAAGCAACTTAAAACCAGACATAAAGGAGCACAGACATCTCAACAGTATCTCAACAGAACTAAATTGAACGTTTAAAATACCAATACTTTTACACTCAAAAAGAAAATTTAATTCAGCAGGTAAATTTGTTAAATATGCCAAATAATTCTTTTTACAATACTGCTGTTTAATAGTGCAACCTGAAGGAAGAACCACCACTGGAAAGGTTATTGTTCC